TTTGCAAGGTAAGAAATACAGTTTTAAATTTGTAATCCATGCATTACAAGACAAGAAACAAAAAAATCTTTCTCCCCAAAGGCATATTAAAATGTGTTTGATGAACTTAAATATAACCATTAGGATTCTAAAGACCAAAATTCAGTATTCTCTGGCAGATGAGGGCACCATGACTAGTTTTCCTTTTAGAAATCTTAGCTGTAGAAATTTGGCTTTGCAAGATTAAACTGTCCCATGTCTCCTGCCTCAAATAAATGAATTTGCTCTCAATTTTGCTACAACATTCTAACTTTGAAAGAGTTTGAGCTTAGCTTTATAGTTAAAAGCCTTATTAGAACGAAAGTGACCATTAGAAAGTGACCATTTTTGTGGAATTCATGTTAGTTATTTAAATTGCAGCAGATGGTATTTTTTTCAGGAAAGAAAAATTTCTAGTATGTTGCTTTAGGACAAAAAAATAAGGTTGATCTTCAGATGCTTATACATGAGGACCTGTTAAAGCTGTAGGCCTAAAATGCAGATTTCCTATCAACTTTAATTAGGTTCTGTAAACCCTAAATTATGTAGTTATGTAAAATTAACCAGGGTGAAGAAAAGCAGTTTAGTCAACTTTCTGTTATTCACACTCATCCAAAAAGAAGGCAAAGCAATTCTGGAATGTGACTTGTATGCCAGTGAGAAATGAATGCCAAACCCTGAAAATTCATCAGAAGGACCTGACAGAGGCTGAAATGAGAGGAACAATAATACCTTATACAGAAATCAAAGTGCAAATGTGCTGAGCATGATGTCAGTGAAAACCTGTGATATTTCTTTGGACAGAGAAAAGCACCTATAGGGTAGATATGCTGAGAAATCTCTAGTTACAGCATTTGAGATGTTTCATTCACAGAAACACCGTGGTGCTGCCACTGTAGTTTAATATGCTCACACTTTAATATGAGGGTATGCTAACAGTAATAAAAGGCAAGTATGAATTTTGAAAAATGTTTGCATGACAGAAATGACCACAAGTCTTATTCATTAGTTATGCAGTCATTAGGCAAATTTTACAAATCCTTATTCCTCACATCTGAACACTGTCCAGAAATACTCTCTGTAATTACTTTTTACAAAGTGACAGGGCAGCAGCTTCATTATTTTTAAACAACAGAATAGTCTGTGCTCTTCTTTATCCTTCCCAACAGATGACAATCTGGGGAATGGATCATTTTCTGGAAATCACATACTGGTGTAGAAACTAAGAATTTGGGAAAGACACCACCTTTGTGAACCTCTGTTCAAATTAGCATGTAGAGAATATAAGGTTCAATCAGAAAATTAACCATATTTCAGATCACTAATTTATCCTTCAATAGAAAACTCAACATCAAAACCACTTGCTAACTCCTGCAGGGAAGAACCATATAATGTTTCAGGACATTTTACAGCAAAAAAATCAAGCTTGTCACATGTATGTTCTCAATCCCTGAGACTACTCATTGGGCAAAGTAAACAACAGAGAATAACTAATAACATGGGATGCAATTACTAGAACTATCTATAAAAAAACCAGCTAACTTATAAAGAGGTAATTTAATTCAAATAACATTCAAAAAAACGCGGGCATCTAACATGTGCTGTAAGCTACCATTTAAAATCCTAGCCTAATTCACCTATTTCTCTAAAAAGAAGGAAAATGAAGGAAAAGAAGATTATTTTCTGATATGGAGCCCCAGGTCATTGCAATTGCACCTTAATTAGCTCAAAGTCAGAAAGTGCTGCAATCACTGTAGATGGATACAGTACAAGATGGTCACTTCTTCCCTGTCAGCTTCTCAGGGCTATTTTATCATCTTCTGTCACATCAGGAAGATGCACAATTTTGTTCATCTGCAAATCTATTCAAAGAGAAAAAGAGGATATTTATAGCAATTCTGGGATATTATAAACCTTGGGTAACTGCAACATCTTGTAATGACTGCACAAGTAATTCTGAACGTTCCGCAGTCCCCGGCTCTTTTCACTGAGCAACGCTCGAGATTAGCCTTGTAATCTGAACAAGGAGGATGGTCTTTGGATGTAAACAAGCATCTTACAGTCATGGTGAGGGTCTCTTCTACAGACATACGAATTCAGAATCGTGTAGCCGTTTCTCTAGCTCTGTGCCTCTCTCAGACTCAAAACAGACCTGAAATAGCACTTGAGTGAAGTCTTTTGCACATTGACTTCTTTACTTCTTTGCTTATCCGATAAAGAAGCAATAGACAGCACCCTGGTACTAGATGCACACTATCAGCACACACATTTTCTATTCCTGGCCTTGATATATGTGACCTGATCTGTGCATAATGTTGTGTCCTTGAGCAACTGGTTATTCACAAACATATAGACACACAATTGGCTGTTTCTAATTATGTCCCATGTATGTGAGAAACAAACAGACACTAAGGGCTTGTTTATTTTCTGGCAAACACCCAACTGTGTTGGGAAGGTGTGCTGGGAAACCTACAATGGTTTCTACAGCCTGTAACTGCAAAGTGAACTCACAGTCATCATTGTGTCTCAGAAGTTATCTTCTAGGGAGAGGAAACAGCTGTCTCCAAATCACCTGGCTGGATAGCAGAGAGAGAAGAATGAAAGCTCAGAGAAGAATGGGTATTGCCTCTGGTGGGCCCTGCAGGCAAAGAAAGCCTCTGCTGGCCACAGACTGTACCACTTGCCTTTAAGTTGTAAACACCAAATTCTAACCCAGTGCCATAAATAAAGACTTTTAGAGGACTTCAGTAATTTTTTTAAACCTTTCTTTTCTAGTATCTGCACAATATCTATAAATGTCTGTGAAATTAACTTTGATTAGCCAGGATGTCTACAGAAAGCAGATAAGGCTTTTTCCTGCCATTTGTGTGCATTCACAGCAGAATCTCTGACTTGAAAAGTAAAACCTTTAGTAAGAATGCACCTGATTGAAAACAGTTTAACAAGGAATTGAAGTGCTGATTGCTATCAAAGAATATCAAAAGAATTCCTGAAGTGCCTATAAATTTCAGTCTGCTAACATCAGATGAATACAAGACTGTCGCAAACAATATAAATCAAGATTTACAAAAGAAACAGTTAAAAACTATTTCCTCACTTATACTACAGGACTAGGGTTATTATTTGGGGTTTCAGCACCATCCCCTGAAGGTTTACCTTTTGAGACCTTGGGCTGTGCATGGTGTTGACCCTGTGTTCATCATGGAGGGGCGAAGCATTTGTCAACATAGCCAAGTGTAAAGCAAAAAAATGAGCCAACAGTAGAGGTCAGCCATGAACTATAAATTTCCTCTCCAAATTTCTTGCCTGAACAATTCAGCTGTTTACTGAACACCCAAAAATATCTGGGGCACCTGTGCCAAAACAGCAGTGAACAACAGTAGAAGGAGGAAAGAAAACGAGTCCTTTGCAAAATGATACAAGGCAAAAAATCCAGATACTAAGAGCACTGCCATGGGAAGGCTGAAGTACAAATGAATAATAACACTTGTTTTTTCTGTGAATAACACAGAGCTCCCCTAGCAACTTGCTATTGTTTGCTGGCTGGTCCAAAAATGTCAAGATCTCATGGAAAAAACCCAACCAAAACCCAAAAAACCACCAGCTATTACTTAGCTTTTGGAGAGTTAGCTTCACCACTTGCTGGTTTCTACTTCCCCTTGGTAAAGTTGTCTGGCATGTTGGCTCATTTGAAAAGGGGAAGGTTTCAGTTCTGCCATGTGTGACAGCTGGAACACATGATGTGCCAATTGCTGAACTACTCAGGTTGCCCCAAGATGCATCTGCTTTTGTGCTCAACATTTCAAAATACTTAAACAGTAGCTACATAAATTAGGTCAATGCATAAGCCGAAACAGATAACCTGGATTTTTAAAGCTGAAAATTAACATGGGCTAAATAAACTGCTGTTTGATCTGTAAAACAAGCACTTAGTTACCCCTCGCAAATGACAACATTATTCAATACCATTCTTTTTAAGTGCAGCTGCCTAGGACATTCATTTAATGTAGCAACTGGATTTGAAGGGCAGGGATTTGGACTGAAAGAAATAACCCATCCATGGTGTCAAAATTGCACTTAGAGCTTCAGATGGGAACAAGACAATCAACAAAATGTGCTGAATTTTCTAGGCCTGCTTTCCACCTGTGGTGCATTATACCTGTACCAGGCAGGAGCTCAGCCACCATTGTATTGTCATGTGTTTGTCAAGCACTAAACACAATGCCCCTTGGCCATGGCTTTTTTTCCCATACCTTGACAAAACATCCAGTACCTGAGCCCCCAGCCCTGAATCTCTTCTGGGGATTTAACAGCCATGTGTGAAACATCATTGTGGCCATTGCTCTCCACCCCTAGATGTGACCTAAGCCAAGCTGCTGGCTGATGCCAGCAAGGACTGGCCCTGCCCTGGTCCGTGCCCTGGCTGCCTTCCCCTTCTACTGCCCTCCTCGGTCCCGACAGGGGTTATCCTGCTCAGGGCACTCTGCTGCCCTTTGGACTAATTCACGCCTCCCAGAGCATCAGCTGCCCACGGTGAAGGAGAATGACCTGTGCCGAGGAGGGTCGGGGAGCGGTGGGGGGCTTGGCGGTGGCTGATGCCCTTTGGCTTCTGGGGCACCGAGGGCACGGTGCGCTACCCGGGGCGGTCGGGCCGGCTCCCCTCCCCTGCTCTCCCGTCCCAGAGCGTCCGGAGCTCCCCGCGGTGCCGCTGCGGGCTCGGGAGGGCAGCGGGTGCGGGCGGGCGCGGCTGCCCGGCAGGGGAGGGGGCCGCCCCCGCTCTCGGCTCTATAATGCCAGGGCCCCCTCACCCAGCCGCGCCGCATCGCTCCGGCTGCCGCAGCAGCCTGCGAGCGGCTCCGCTCCCTCCCCTCCGGCCCGGAGACGTTCGAGGATTAGGGAAGGGAGGGAAATCCATCAGGCGAGAGGCAGGGCGGGGAGGCGGGCCGTCAGCATCCCTCCGCTCCGCCCGGGCCGGCGGCGCCGTAGGGCGAGCTCCGGTGCGGGCGCAGGAAGGGGCCGAGCTGCCGGAGGTGCCCAGGGCGCCGGCGGCTCCCAGCGGCCCGGATCCGCGGCTGGGGGCTGGCGGGGCACGGCGGCGGGAGAAGCCGCCGCTGCTGTTGGCGTGTCCGTCGCTCGCAGCGCCGGCTCTCCCGGGATGGGCCTCCAGGAGCTGGCGGTGTGGCTGCTGGCGGCGGCGGGGCTCGTGCGCGGTGAGTGGGCGCCGGCCCCGCGGGCAGCGCCGGGAGCCGCGGCGGGGCGGGTGGGGCGCGCGGGGACGGCAGCCCCGGGTCCCCGGCACGGCGGCTCTCCGGCCCCGGCCGTCCCCTTCTGCCCTCTGCCAGCTTTGCAGCTTCGGGGGCTCGCCCCCGTCCCGGTCGCACTAAGGGCTGGCCAGCGCTGGGACCTGCCCGGAAGGGACACCGGAGAAGGACGGTGGGGATGGGGGACCGAACTCTGTCAAGGGACTTAAATGGTGGATGTCCCAGGGCAGAGGCTGCGGCTTTTTCTGGGGGGAGTTGAGGACGAGAAAATCGGGAAGAGGGAGGTCGGTCTGCAGTGGGACAGGGAGGTCTCACGTCCAGAGAACCTGTTCCTACCCGGTCGCACATTCCCCTTCACTAGAAAACTGCCTCTCTGCCTGGTCTACTCTGCTCCATTCGTGTAGACCTGCTCCTTCTCTCCACAGAAAGACGGCAGAATAAGCATCCTCCCTGGATTTGAAGTGTAAAAAGGACAGAAATCCCCAGATGTTAGCATGTATATTAATGTACTGTCTATCATCTCTGCCAGGAATGCCGTACCCCACTTCATTTATAACTGCATGAACAGAGAACAAAGCAGAGTGTACCTGCCCCAAAGAATTCTCTGTCTGAAACAGCCCGAGAGCAGTGCTCAGTCTAACCTGTGGCCATTTTTCTCCCATTGTCTTGCTCCCTTCTGCCGTATCTCTGTTCTGCTTTTCTGGTTATAGCTATGCCAGGACAGGTGTCAAATCACAGGTGCTGTATTTCCTCTTCATCATGTCCAGCTGCTGGACCGAAGGGTGTATACATTGAGAAAGCACCATTAGCATTTAGAATGTATCACTCCTGGCCAGTCAAGAAATGATCAAAGAGGTAACCCCCCCTTATAGACTGGGGTGAACATTTGTGACTAGGATTTTGTTGTAGTAGCTAATGAACTATTTTAAATACAGTGGCATTTTTTTCTGGGAATGCAGCAGGTGTAATAATAGATACATAATATCTGATAGGAGTGAAAAAGCATGCCTGAGCTTTTTCTGATGTAGAATCCTAATTATTTATCTTTTTATTCCTGTGCCCAAAGAATCTCTGCAAGGAGAGTTCCAAAGGAAGCTTTACAAGGAGCTGCTGAAAAATTACAATCCATTGGAGCGACCAGTTGCAAATGATTCCCAGCCACTCACTGTCTATTTCACTCTCAGCCTCATGCAGATCATGGATGTGGTAAGTCTGTAACCTTCTAGGAAACAGTTTCAAAGGGTGGATTTTCCTTCCTAGAAGGGACATTTGAGATAGCAAAGCAAAATTACAAGAAATTGGAAAGCACAACTAATTCAAGACACAATGCCAAATTTTGTCTACATCTTTAAAGAACGAATCTTAGAAGTACACTTTACCTGTTTCCTGGCCAAAATCCAAGTTGCATTATTTCCTTTGGTATGTAGACAAGATTGCTATATTCTGTGTGCTTACAACCACACTTGACTGGTATATCAATAGGTATTCTTGTGCTGTACCTATACAATGCACTGCAGAATCTTTTTGGGTTCAGATATGACTAATTTAAGTTTCGCTCTGTCACAGTGGCACAGAGATGCAACTCAGCAGCATATAAGTGCATTTACAGTATTTGTTTTTACTGAATTCAACTAGCTATGACAACTAATAAGGAAGTTAAAGTATTAAAAAAGTAATGAATCTCAAAATTCCATTATCTTCCCATCAGATGCCTAAAGTTCAAGACACAGAGTTAATTTCTTCTGGAGTTGTCAAATATAATTAAAACCCATACAAAATTAAAGGAAAATATCCACAGATCACTAGCCAATCTGGATGTAGTCAATGACTGGCAGTCTTGGCTAATATGATTCAAAAGGGAGCTTTTGATCCTATGTGCCTTTCAAGAACTACACTTGACAGTCAGTCAGAAACCTTAGGTATTTTAACTGGCTGTTTAGTTACAGCTCATTCTGCTTGCCATAAAACTCACTGCATTTCTTTCTCTGAGATCTGGGATTGACAGCCAAAGAAAGAAACCAACCATGAAGTAAATTAAGCTTCATGCTATAAAACAAATGAGTTTTCTTCATTGTCAACAAGAAGCAAATGCTGGTGGGAATGACAGCTACTTGCAATAACAATTACTGGTTTAACAAGCTAGAAACAAAACATGTCGCCATCATACTTTCCAGTAGTTTATATATTCACTTTTATGGCTTCTCAGCTGATAGCCACTGAGTTTAATTGGGAGTTAGACCTCTCCAGAGCCAACCCATCCTATCCCTGCCAGAACAGATTGAGCCAGGCTGGATCCTGGTCGCTGCTATTCCTTAGGTGAAGCCTCTTCCATTCCACTCTGACTTTACTGACAGGAAAAGGGAGATGGTATATGAAATATTTTCTAAATACAATGGATGTTTTCAACTTTGTATTTCTAGTTTTAACCTGTCCTATTAAAACTAGAAATTTTCTACCCCATGGTTTTAGATATGTTTTTCTTTTAATGCTATTGTGCATTAATATGCATGCTAGTATCAGCAGTACATAATGAGGGATCTGTAAGTGCCAATTGCCCCAGCTTAGTGGAGTTCACTAGAAAAATAGAATTAATTAATTGTCTAATGAGAATGCAAGCTGGCTAGCAAAGTATACAAAATGTTTCTAAATGGGGAAGAAAAGCAGCGGCAGCATGAGAAATATGCAGTTTGTGGATGTATTACTGAAGAGGAGAACTAGCAAACTAAGGGAGTGCATAGAGAAGTGGGAGTACATGGTAGGCCTGAGATACAGCAAAAGAATTTGGAAGAGAGATGGAATTTAGATGGAAGAGGATGGGATGCAAAATGGAAAGTAAGAGGTTTGAAAGAGGGGACTTGAAAAAGAAAAATCTTAAGAGACAAGAACTATGGCATACCTTGGAGGAAGGAGAGGAAGAGGGGTTAATGGATGGTCATAGCTTCAGCACAATGGCAGTAAAAATAAAGAATAGGATGTAGATAAGATATTTATTTTTCTCCACTTCTCACCTCATGGAAACCCCTCAATCTGCACATAAAACTGGTCTTTGGCTTCTGCTTGTCTGGTATTTCAGTGCTGGCATGGAATAACCTAACTTAGGCTTAGGAAAATTTCCAGCATATACAGTTTCAAAAACCAGGTTATTGACATATACTGATATGATAGAATTTCCACACTGAAAATAAAAATACAGCCACATTTTTAAACACTGTATGGGGGTAAATACCTTCTAACAGTGTTGTTTTCTCTTGTAACATCCATCTCAATAATAGTATCAGAGGAGAACATTAACCACTGCCTGTTGGTTTGGAGGGAACACTAGGAATAGACACAGCAGCAGTGCTTTACCTACTCTGCTACATCTCATACAGAATAGTGAATGGCATAGAAAAACAAATGCAGTGAGCATGAGGGTGTGAGGTTTGTGCCTAGCCTAGCATTTTTACAATAGACATATCTGTAAGTTAATACAATTAAGAGAAAGTATCAGAGAGTATTTCATCCCCAAAAGTCAGAAGATGGAGCCTTAGAGATTAAGTGGTCTCACATTTATACTGCAAAAGACTGCTTTGAGACACAAGCATGAAGAACTGGAATACACTGAGGTACAGAGTGATAGTTCAAACACAATTTTTACTACTACCTAAATGAGTAGAAAAATCACACTCTTATTTTAGTTCAGACAGAGCCTCTAGAGGTCATCTTGTCCACTCCCCTACTGCAAAAAAGTCTTAAATGGATCACGTTATTCAGGACTGTGTCCAGTTAACTGCTGACCACTTTGACAGCCTTCCTGGCTCCTGTCCAGGAGTTTCCACAACCTTCCTGGGCAGTCAGTGTTCAACTACTATCATGGTAGATTTTTCCTAACATCTAAGCATAACTTCCTATTTTTCAACTCGGGAACAGTACAAAACAATTCTAGAGAAAATGAGACATCTTTCATTCAGGAAAATAATAATAATAATAGTAGTAGTAATAGTAATATACTTTTGGTGAAGTATTCCAGATTTCTTGGCCATTTCCAGCAAGGTGTGTATATTTCTGAATAACATAGCGGAAAGCTAAAGAATGAAATCTTGGCAAGCCCACATGACAGAACTCCTCCTTAGAGTAGCTCTCAATGGTTCACTCTCAATACATAAGGTTTTCAGCTTTCTGGCTGGAATCTAGAATTTTTACCAGCTTTCTATAAGGGACTTGGGGCAGCACTTTGGGAGTGTCCTAAGCTGATCTCAGCCTTTGCTACTGGAAGAAATCTGAGTTCTGGGCTCATGCTCCCACAGCTTTGGCTTGCACCACTGCCTCTCTGAGTGAGAGTTACCTTATCCTTTTTTGAGGGGGCAGTTCTCTACATGACCTGTACTTTGGGTTTAGATTAGCTTAAACTGCTCACAAAACTACCTGTTGGTTCTTCACTTAACATGTCATATATTTCAAAAAACACAAGTGAGCTCTATCTCTGATTTAAGTTGCAAAACTTGGGAGAATGCTGGATCAATATCATCTTAGCTTGTGACTTCTTCAGCAAGACTCATGGTGACAAATATTTTGGTGGGTATGAGTGTAGCATTTTGGACTACTCTGATCATAAATTAGTTAATTTTTTAGAATCAACATTTAATAATTTATTTGAGAAAGTTGAACTAAAAAACTTATCTACATGAATATTCAAATTCTTACTCATGTTGCATAATACTGCTTGGAAATCTTTCATGGTTCTTGAAGACACTTGCTGGCTAATTAAATAATTTACTACACAACTGTTTTTGCTTATTTTCCAGTTTCTCCTTTCCCTTTTAAAAAATTTCTAGTTAGGGGAAAGAAAAGCACTGAATAGTTGTTTGTATGTAGTAAGCAGCAGCAGAATCTCAAGGGAAATCCTGTTCCTTTAGGCTGTTCAATTCACTTGTGCAGACCAAAGGATAAATGAAAGCATGCAAACTTTTTTACATTTATCTGAACTTAGTCAAAGTTTGCTTATCCTACATTGCCCTTGGTTACTTGCATGACTTAGTTTTATATATTCAAGGGCTTTTGTCCTTGTTTTGTTTTACACAGTGAAGTGATCCAGCTGACTACAATGACTTATATTCAAGGCTTTGCAAAGCCTCTGCATAAGGATCTGCAACTCACTATTTGCAATCCAACACTCCAGACTCATTGGGCAAGACAGTAATGTCAAATATCTTGAAATTTTGAAGAGAAAATCACGCTGTCATTCAAAGAAGCATAACAGCTTCTGTAAAGAAGCAGACTAAAAAACAAACATCTTGTCCGCCAAAAAAGGGGAAAAAAAAAGAAAAAAAAAGAAATTTAAATCTGGAAAATGAATAAAAACAACCAAATCAAGAGGCTCATTGAAAAATAGTGCTAATGAAGTTCTTAAGCTGTTTATCAGACCTCAGCAGCCTCTTTGCAAACAATGGCTGTGGCAGAAGCTCATCAGATCTGCATTATTCTTTTAATTTTGGCATTCACTTGTGTACATTAGAAAATCTCTCTGAGCTTTATTTTCTTCTCAGTTTGCTGCTTGAACTTTTTTCCCACCATGCCAAAGGGAGAAACTGTTTGCACTTTTGTTTTGCAACCATTTCCATTCCACCATAATTTATTCCTGAGAGTTTAGAAAACTGGAAAGGTGCTGGGATATGCCTTCTGGTATTTTTAGTTAGTTTAATATCATGAAAGTTACTGGATTATAACAGAAAACACAGTATTATATTTTTCCATGAAATCTGAAGAACAGATCAGACAAGAGTGTAAAATATTCCTATAGTTGCTCTACTTTAACAAGCAGACAACACCTCTCCTTACCCTACTGTGGTGAGATATTAATACACAAAGAGAAACTGCAACCTTATTTCTGTGATATTTGTCCATCTTTCCTCTGCTTCTAAAGATCTCCTGGATTTTTTAACTCTTCTCTCAGCATTTTACTTAGTCTCCTCAAACAGAGTTTAGATCTGGAAAGATATTTTAAACATAGGAGGATGTGTAGGATGAGATGGGAAGCAATGAATGTACACTAATTAAAGGCAGTTTGGAGGAAGGAAAAAAGGACTGACTAAAGGCTATAAAAAACCTTCCTGATAATAGTTCACTTGAGGACATTAGAGATGTCCATTGTATGTGAAAATCAGAACTTATATTCTGCTTTCTGGTTCCATAGGAGAGATGTTTGGAACTTTTTTTGTAATACGAAT